CTCCTAAACCTCACTAGGCCGGTTACAAGACTCGTAAAAAGGGGAAGGTTGGACGTGAGGCTAGAAAACCCATCCTGTAAAAAATAAACACCACTGCTACAAAAACTTCAAAGCTCTAACTTGAAGCCCTGTGTTCCACCGGAAACGTAAAGGAATAAAGTAATAAATAATATTAATTAAAATAAGGTGGTTTTTAAATGGCTTTTGGCTTTACGGATTTTTAATGGTAATTGAACCTTAATGTCTGCCAACACTGTTGACTTAGTTGACTTTTTCTAAACCATTTGAAATGATGTTGTCTATAAGTTTGAAAATAATCCATTACTGAATTCATTACATGTTGTTTCACTTCAATTTAGTGTCTAATAAATTTATTAAAATAGAGTGTTAACTAAACAAACGGGGCTTCTCTGATCATATTCGACTTCACTGTCTCATTTACTGAACCTTTTGCATTCTACAAAATGTTTGAAGAAGGTTGGTGTAGTTTTGTAATACAAAATAATTCGAAGCCTCTGTAATAGTCGGCATCCATCTGACTGCATATGTTTACTAACTGTAAGGATAATTTTTGTAAACACTGAAGGCAGTCGACAAGAAGCCCTCTAACTAGCTTTCGTACTTGTTACAGCTCATCGGCAAGGAGTATTTTGAATATTGACAAAACTCATTTCCCTTCTAAGGTTCGAACCCTCATCGCACTGTGCTGTAGTCAGAGACTTCAGTATTCGGGTTGGCGATCGATCTCCTATAGGGGTGTATTAGATTCTTTGGCTGGTCACTAAGCGGTCACTAGTGCATGCGTTTAGTCCTGAATGACAGAATTGAGTTTGCACCATGATCGAGAACTAAACGCATGATATTAGTTGCTACCTACTGCCGATCAAAGTACTCTTATAAGCGTTTCCTTTCTAGTAGGTGTTATGTTCAGATAATTTGCATAGGAAATGCCTCATATTAGTTTATTGTACTGATAAACAGTGTTGATATAAGACGTTTTGTTTTAGTTTATTGAATCTTAAGTCCAGTCATGAAATTATATGTTAAACGAGTTACAATATAACAATTGTTACAGTATTAATTACAGCGGTAGTATTAAAACTGTAATTACTTTGCCACACAGCAAAACCACGCATTATTTATTGTTAATTTATAAATAACCTTATTTTCCAAGTTTAATTTACTATTTTTAAAAATTATATTCTCTGAAAGATATTGAACACCTGTTATTCCATGAATGTTTTCTATGATTTTAATGGTGGCTTTTTCCTAAAAAAATATTAGAGTGACGGAGTTATTTAAAGCATTTATGCTTGCAGTGGTTTCTTTCGTCTTTTAAATAAAGAGTTATAGTAATGATGGTTATTGTTACTATTAGAATTCTAAACCATTGAAAACCAGGGAGTACTAGACAGTTGTTTCACCAGCCTAGTTTTGGAATCATCGGCACTACGCATCCGATGGGGTTCGAAACTAGGACCTTCCGCTTACAAGGCAAGCTTGTATACCATTCAGCCACTGAGACCCTATTCAATGGCCAGCTCATGAATTCTAAGTCCTACCAGTTCGTGAATTAGCGCAACCCCAACTAATGTTGTCGATGGGCCATCCATCTTCACACGTGACTGGATGAACTTCACTGGTCACAACTTTTCAATAGGACTCCAGGAAACTCCATCACGTAGCAAGTCACTAGCCAGCATCAGATTAATTTTCTATGGTTGACTTATAAGGATAAGTTTCGTCTTTACGAGTTGATCACGGATTAATATCCGTTAGAGAACCATTGAGGGGTTGCGCTAAATTCAGAATTGGTAGAAGTTAAAATTCACGAGCCATTAAATCAGTTATCAGTGGCTGAATAGTGTACGAGCTTGAATTGTAACCGGAATTTCCTGGGTTCGAACCTTGGTCGTGGGTGTGTACTGCCGATGATTCGCAGACTAGGATTAAACAGCTGTCCAGTACTACCTGGTTTTCAATGGTTCTCTAACTGATATCAATCCGTGATCGACTTGTAAAGAATTCTAAACACTTTTTTTCAAATAATGGTAAAATTAGGACGCTGAAATTACTGTTTTTTTCGATTCTTTAAATGTTTGCTACTTTCTTGAAAAATGTTAATAGAATGGCTGATATCATGATTTTTTCCAAATAGTCTATTACATTCTGATTAACTGTAAATTATTAAGCTTAATTGTTTTGCATAAAATTGTGAAAATCTAATAAATTCACATGTTTTTACTTACTGCATTTTTCTTCACTCTCTGCATTCGAAGTGAAACATTGGGCTTTAAGTTTCCAAGTTTCAGAAGAAAAAGCGGTTTCATTAAAGAGTGTGGTTCCTAGCCCCATGCATAAACCTCATCATCTTTTACAGGTTTACTATCAGCTGGTAAACTGTGGCTTGAGAGTTCATCATCTGGGATTTGAACCCAGACCACTGACGTGGCTGGTGAATATTCTACAACTGAGTTACTGACCCACATATTAGAAAAGATTTTAATCGTCTTTCGTAGTAGCTAGGCTGACTCATCTAATGTGGTGGGAAAATAAACATTACGTAGGCAAATTTCAGTTTATTCCAGGTTAAATGTTTCTTTTTTTCTAATATTTCGACGAACAGTTTGATGAGACTTTTGTTTCCATGTTAGTGTGCTATTTTATGGGAAAGCTGAAGGTTTTCTGAAGCAATAATGTTAGCTTTTTTCATGTCCAGGGAAAGAAGAAACCCTAGACATTTATTACACAATACAAAATTATAGTTTATAATAAGGGCAATCATACAAGTGGTATTACAATCTCGGTGGTATTACTTTATGATGAACATTTTTCTAAACTTACAATTCATCTCTACCCTTTCATTTGTAAGCTTATCGAAAATTACCTGGATTAAGCACTGGATAGTGAACGAAGTAGCTGACAGGCTGTTAGTACTAAATTTAATCCTGTTAGTTAGTCGTGTGAAGTGGTCATTAATACAACTTTGCTACATTGCTATGAGCTGAATAATTTATTGGTAAAGTCTCTGACACCATCATTGAGTGGAACAAGATCTAGTCATTAAAAGTACTACATATTCATTTTACTAGTGGATGTCTAGAAAACTCTTGACAAGAGATTTTTAATGACTACCAAAATATTAAAAGGCCAATTTAATCCGTTTTTCAAATTCCTACTATTTTCATACTAGAATTTATATCTTCCACCCTCAACGGGAGAGATTTAACAGAGGTTTCCTCCTTCATTTATCTGGAAAGCATAATTTTAACTACAGGCGGAACAGGCACAGATATCAAAGCCAGTCAGAATCAGAAAGGTAAGATACGAATTCGTCAACCTGAAACCAGTTTAGAAAACATCAGCTTTCAGCATAATGAACAAGATTCGGAATTTCAACATCAATGTATAGTCGGTTCTTCTATACGGGTCAGAAACTTGCACTGTGTGTCACGAAAAGGATATCCAACAGGTTGCAGACTTTCATCAACAGCTGCCTTCGCTGACTGGCTGCATACTGAAGATCAGATGGTCAGAAAGAATTAGTAAACAGAAACTCTGACTGGGAACAAGCTAACCAAGAGCCGATCGCTCAACAAATATGTAAGAGAAAGTGGAGATGGATCGGGCATACATTGAGGAGGCCGCTGAATGACATCGTACGTCAGGCCAATGCTCAAGTGGAATTCAGATGGGAAGCGACGAGTGGATTGTCGGTGAGAGGGTGACATGGAGGGGATCGTGTGAGGAAGAGATGAGAGAGTCTGGTCAATCGTGGACCCAGCTGAAGAGGACGGCAGAAAACTGAACAAAGTGGAGATGTGTTGTTGAAGCCTACGTTCCACTATGAACCCAAGGGAATAATAATAATAATTTTTTTGAATAGTCATCAGTGCTAACCACAGTTTGAAGTAGCCTTATAACAATCACAGCGATAGGCAAGCAGATTATTCTTCAGCTAGCAAAATCTGTTATTCTATACGACCGGTTTCTAGCTAATTATGTTGCAGTGTGTTTTAGTTTCCAGCCACTGTAAATAAGATATTAAATGAAAACAGAAAATTTCAAATATCATACAGATGTAAGCTCTTTAGAAGGCATTAATTCTCACTAAAACGCACATCTTTTTTGCACCTTGTAGGTATCTATCTCTCTTAGGCTCAGAATATTTCGTGTAATAAGTGAAGAATTAGTGGTTTACATTCTATTTTCTCTTCAGTCAAAAAGGTGTAGTTTTCTTTGACTTCTTGAATCTGAACATACCTTTCAGAGCAGTGTAAATGGAAACTTTATATATATATATATGACCATGGATCGATATTAGTTAGAAAACCACTGAAAACCATGGAGTACTCGACAGCTATTTCGTCCGTCCTTGTTTAGGACCTATCGACAGTATGCACCCACCACGAGGGTTCGAAACCAGAACTTTCCGGTTACAAGGCAAGCTCTTAAACCAGTAAGGCACTGGGACTTGATTCAGTGGCCCATGAATTCTAACTTCCAGAAATTCGTGATTTGGTATGACCATCAACCAATGCCATCGGAGAGTGTTTGTCCTTACTTCCGACCGGGTGGACCCCACTGATCACGAGTTCTCACCAGAACTTCAGGAATCGCTCTTCTGTAGCCAGTCACTAGCGAGCATCAGATTAATCTTCAACGGTTGATTCCTAGGGAGAATGTCGTAAGTTAATTACTAAATCTGCAATTTCTGTACCCATAATTATTGTACATATATATATTGCCAGTCATAATGGTGACTCAGGTAAACTGCACAGTCTTGCTGTTTACCTTAAAAAAAACTATTTTGTAATAAAGATACAGACGTGAGTGTGAGAGACATAATTTCAGAACTAGTCACGAATTGCACACTTGAGGAATAATATATATATATATATATACATATAATATACATATTAGTTTGATAATCGTCTGCTTACTGCATATTCCAATACACGTAATCATATTAAATATTTATTTTAACATTTCTAAAATAGGATGGCACTTATCACTGTGGTTGTGATCCTGGCTATGAACTTCAAGCTGATGGCCATAGTTGTGTAATGAAATCTTCATGTGATTCAGAATGTGAAAACAATGGAAGATGTTTTGAAGGCAGATGTATTTGTACATCAAATTTTGAAGGTGAACGATGCGAACAAGATAAAAATGAATGCCTTGATCCAAGTTTTCAGCATGGTTGTACTCATCAGTGTGTTAATACATATGGATCATACGAATGTATTTGCCCTCTGGGTTATCGAAGACTTGCAGATAAACGAACATGTGTTGTAAGTATTTTTGTTTAGTTTTTAGGGTTTTTTTAGGTAAATGTTGATTTTTTTTATTTCTCCAGAATGTTTACAAAAAGTATCTTAGCATTTTATAAATGTGCATAGTCAGTTAATTTCATTTAACCAGTTGTTCTTTGAAAAAATGATCTACAGACAGCCTACTCACGTGCATCAGAGATATCAGCTAGAATGGAATTAAACTGCAGTATAAAGCAAAGAATCTGCTAGCCTAAGAAAGAACATATTATAGAACCATTACTAAGTTTAATTTCTAACTTTTTTCAAATCTTCTATCTACCTTAATATTCATATATTAATTTCAAACATTGTACAATGAAAGCAAAATATTTTTCAGGTAGCTTGTTTAGGCTCAATATTCATATATCTATATTTTTCATCTAAAGAGTTAGTTTAATCTGACAACAAAGAAACGCAATGTAAGATAACAATGTTTAACTTTATGTGCTCATCGAATTTACATCCTAAATTATATAAAGTATTGGGCGAAGTTAAAGAATAGAGATCGAAGGAGAACAGTGCTTCAAAACGGCCAACAGTACCAACCTGATGAATTCGACTGAAAGAAGGGGAATGAAGATACGTATCCACAATAAAAGTAAAAATATAAGGAAAGGTTTCCTGTTTAGTCCTTCTGCTCTTTGAGAATGTGAAGTATTCTTACGCGGTTCCACTATCTTGATCTGATTGTGCGCGCTAGAAGGTTATTGGTGCGTTCATTCCCTTGGACAGCTATACTTTTACTTGGCCAACTGTTGAATATTCAATTGTTTGATAGTAGAAATGATGAAAGTCATTTCCTAATGCTCAAATGTTTTCCAGGCATAATTTATGAACCTCATTTGACCATCTATAGTTATGATAATGTAACACTAAATGGTCTAAATTTAATATCTCAGTTTCTAATGTTGGATTTACAGTGACTGGATACATTTCAAAGTTTTATTGTCTAAACTGTGATACCTAACGCGGAGACTTCGAATTCTGAAAAACTACAAAACTACAACCAGTCAAATGATCATAGATAAGGGTGTCCAGCTGCAAGACTAAAGTATTGTAATTCAGCCAGGGGATCAGTATTCTATGAATTATGCTCTTAGTCTTTGCATATTCTTGATATCTTGTGAGAGGAATCTACTGTCAGAGATAAACATTTTTTCATGCTCAAATTGATCGATTCTACTAGTCATTTATTCTCAGTATAACATCACTTCATCTATCTTAAAGATAATAACTTATGAAAATTAGCTGATTATACAAGTTCACTTCCGTCTTTACAATTGTGTGATTGAGATCAGTTAAGGAGGAAATTTATTTGAAAGTGAATTCAGATTAGGAAGAAATTACAAATAAGGTTGAGTAACCATCGTTTGGGAACAACCATTACAAACTTGTTGTATTCAAACAGTGCAAAACGTCTAAATTAAGTGATTTTAAGTACATGCTTATGTTAAATATCCTCCAATTTCTGGTCTTTCAATGTGTTTGAGAACGAATTGAGGTGTGCAAACTAATTCATGAGGAACTTTGAAGAATGGTGTTAGGGAGGGGCTTTAATTTATCCTTGCGTGAAATTAAAGAAAATATCATAAAGAAATGAGAAAATATGAAATCAGACAGATTTATGTGTATATCGGTTCCTTAGGTGTTCGCTTTGATTCAGAAATGCCCCCGGAATTGGACTTATTTTCAAAGAAAGGAACCTATTTCTTCAATATACTCGTCAGTACCTAACTATGAGTGACATCATTGTAAGCCTCAGTGATACAGCAGATATCGGAGTGATTTCATTTTACCAGGCTTGCATAAACCACTGGGCTACCTAAATGTTTTGTCCATCAAAATAAATCATGTTTACTCCGTTTCGTATTATTTTTTATGATCTAATTATCACATTGAGTCATACTTCATAGTTGCACTATTTACATACGTTTCTATCTATCGTTAAGAATTGTTTGAAGGATAGAGAGACAGAACGTTGTGGACTAGGGGTGGAGCGAGCTTAGGGTGCAACAATATTTCTTCAGATGACGTATTATCTATTATTATATTATTTGAAGATTCTGCACAAAGGAGCGAATACATTGAGGTGGGAGTTGCTGAAAATCCTGTGTATAAACGCATTTTCAGAAATAAGGCTATTACTAGTATTAGATCTGAAGTATGCTTCGAACTCAAATAAACAGGACAAGATCTCCACTAACTGAAACAGCAAGCGAATCTACCAACAGCTCGGCTAGCATTTTCTTCCGGCTCACTGCAAAAGTTTTAAGGCGAAAAAATTCCGGCACATTGTAGAAAGTGAGACAGTTATATTTTTGATGCCCCAAAGTTTCTGCGTTGCACCTGAAGTCAATCCTAGCTGGAAGATACCTAACATTGTGACCGAATTTCTAATGGGCCAGTTATGATTTTAGTCCCAGAATTTGTTGTAGTAATTGAGCACAAATCAGTCTAATGATCGAAGGGACATACCTCATAACTCTTTACTATTTATTAACAGTAAATAAAGCCACTCACGCAAAATTTAGTGTTTATAATATAATGAATACTAAATGGCCAGAAAGAATCAGCAACAAGAAACTCTGGCTGGGAACAAACTAACCAAGAGCCGATCGCTCAATAAATATGTAAGCGAAAATGGAGATGGATGTGATAATCATTCAGGAGGCCGTCGAATGACATCACACTCCACGCCACCATTCCAGTGGAATCCCAATTGGAAGCGGTGAGTGTCTCGTCCTAAGGTGACACGAAGGAGATCGTGCGTGGAGGGGACGACAGATTATGGATAGTTGGGGTTCCAGCTGAAGAGGACAGCAGAAAACAGAATAAAGCGTAGATGTGTTGTTGAAGCCCTATGTTCCACTAAGAACCCAAAGGAATAATATTAATTAATACAGGGAATGGATTAAAGTTTATTCAGTGACCAGTAAAATAAAATAATGCTTCAAGTTTATTCTCAAGAATATATATATATATAATGCTACTGACCTTGTAGTGAGGAGCTGATGACTAGGAGTTTCAACGAAAGGAGAAGTCACAGCAAATTATAGGGATATGGATAATTTAGTGTCGTTTAAGTCACATGAAACTCACAGGTGAAACTATTTACGACTCAACGATAGTTGTGACTCAGTTGTTTTGTATGTGTAGTATAAGAGTTGGTAAAATATCAAGTTAATAATCTTAAAACTGCAAATTCCAATACTGTCATGACAAGCATTTTAACACAGGCTTCGATTATGCGACTATTGCACACAAAAAGGAGTATTAGCTTTTTAAGTATGAAAAATTTGTTGGTCTGTTGATCAATACGTCTTTTTTGTTAAGTAAAACTAAGGGAGATGAACACTAAATGTCTTTGGTGGCCAAAAACAAAGAGTGTGTTGGTTATTTTCTTATTATCTTTGAAAGAAAACTGAAGACCACACTTGTTTTTGGATGATTTATTATGATGGTATAAATGCCTGAATGTCTGGTATTTATCACAGGTGGCATAAATCCAGGTTGGCTTAACTGTTTAGATGCATAATGTCATACATAATCTAGAATTCAGACACAAAATCTTACAGTAGTTCACTAAACTAGCGATAGACTAACCTTCGTGAATGAATACAGTGAACGACATTAAATCACTCCAGGCAAATCGAAAAATGAGGATATTTCATGGAGGAGGTGTACAAAGGAGAAGGACCTCAGTAGGTTTTTCGCTGACAAGAATCAAGCCATTGGTACCTTTTGATTTGCTACTTTAGCTGTGACCAGTAGTGTGCAGCAGGTCGGTGTGAGGACAAATACTCGCACTGAAGACATTGGCTAGCGGTTGCGCAGAAGTTAGAATTCATGGGCCATTGGATCGGGTCCCAGTGGCTTAATGGTCTATGAGCTCGCCTTGTAACCATAAGGTCCTGGGTTCAAACCCCGGTGGGTGCGCACCGATGAAGAGTCCCAAACTACGACGAAACAGCTGTCCAGTACTCCCAGGTTTTCCAATGGCTCTCTAACTGATGTCAGCTCATGATGAAATCCTGTAACCAATCAACCAAATCCCTACAAACCATTTCTTGTTAATTTAGTTATTGTTCAGTGATTCGGCGCGTATAATTGGATTTAACTAGATCGATAGATGAAAGTAACAAAAGGTTCTGTCCATAAAATACTGTTCCAGAAATAATTTGAGACGTGATTATTCCCTGTTGTGTTATTTGTTAGGCTGTCCATTTAAAAATTAATTTGGCTCTGATTTAATCTCTTCCACTTTTATCATCTTATTGATATCAACAAGTTAAATTTAATTTTATGAATATTTAATGTTTTGAACGTCTGATTATCAACACTAAATTGTATCGTGTAACAGGTGTTGTTACACTTCTTTAATTTGATTTTGATCCATATCACACAGTAGAAAAAACTATTACTTTTAAGCAACGTTTTTGATGGGATTGACTATGAATGATACATTTCAACTACAAATTTTATCAGCTATTATCATAAGTGATATATCTAAAAATGAACAAGGAAAACATCTCGATCACAGTACATGAGTTCAGATGTTAAAAGAACCTGACGTATTATTATTATTTCCTTCACGTTCCCAGAGGAACGTAGGGCTTGAAGTTACTATAGCAGTGTTGAATTATACAGGATGAGGTTGCTAGCCTCATGCCCAACCTTTCCTCTTTACCAGCATTATTTCTGGCTCAGCAAGGTAAAGGAGTGCGTCCGTGGCCGGGAATTGAACCCTGGACTATGTGCATGGTTGGTGAGTGTCCTAACCGCTGTGCCATTGACGCACGAGGAATATTAATACACATTTGTTAATGTATGATCAAAGATTACAGCGAATATAAGGTTTAGATCAAAACCGTTTTAGTCTGTGTTGTGAAGCTGATGACGCTGTCTTATTTTTAGTGATTTTCAATTTTATCCTTAAAAAGCTGACAAAAATCCACATTCGTTGACTTCCAATTTCTTTG